TGTCATATTTGATTCCATCTTAAGTTTCAGAAACCACATTAATAATTAAAATAATAATATAATTATTTTTGTGTGTCCGCAACCGTACTGAGCTCAGTTCTGGCTCTGCTGGAGGTTTCTTCCTGGTAAAGGTGAGTTTATATCTTTAATTAGACAGAAACGTTTAACTATATAGAATCATTAACTGAGCTTAATGCACCGTTTGATAACGAGGCTCAATGGGAACATGCTACTGAATTGAAGTTATTTTTTGTAACATGCCTCGAGATTTCATTTATTGTGAAATGGCGCTCTATAAATAAACTGAACTGAATTGGTTTTAAGGTTCTCTTAGTATACACAAGTTAGTTTTCATGAAGACTGATAAATAAATCGTAAAATATTGTCACATCTATTCAGCCTGGTTTGGAGTAGCATTGTACAGCCATTATCGCTTATAGATGATGATATTTCAATTGTAGCAACTTGTGGTTTATTATTTTATCGCTGATAAGACTGTTAGCATTCACAGAAAGTACTGATGTTTTAAGATTTTTTTTCTTTATTATTCCAGATTTTATTATCATTTATGTTCATTAGGTTAAATGTAGGTTTGTTTTTTTTGTTGGGTTCTCTTTTTTGTTTTTAACAAATCATATTTTCTCATTTCACCTCGCTAATTTAATCCACACAATTTAGTTCCCAGAGTTTCTCATTCTGTAGATTTGATCGATTTCTTTCACTTTTAATTTGTCATTCTTCATTACCACTAACCGCCCGTTTTATTTGTCCGTTTAGGTTACTTAAATGTTTCTTCTCTTCCGAGTAAATGGTTGTTTTTAACCTCAGTAAAACGTGTTCTTACACTTGACTGACAGAAAGTACTGTTGGTGCAGCAAAGGCTTGTAAGGCAGTGGCTCATGCTCACCAAATCTCTCTGGTCTTCCTGGACCAGGTCCATTTTGTGCACCAGACAGAACACTTTGGCATCAGGCGAGTTCTGCAGGATGGCCTCCAGACACGACTGGTAGTAGTGCATGTCTTTCTCCAGCTCACGGCTCTCAACGTCAAACACATAAATAAGGACCTCGACATTTCTGAAAATGTTGTCCCTCTGACTCGTGAAATAGTTCTCCATAAACGTGTCTTGTCTGGTGGATAAAAAGATATACATCACTGTTGAAGTCATAGCAGAGGAAAAATAAAGTCTAATGTTGAGATAGGGTTTACCCTCCGCAGTCCCACAAGTTTAGAACCAGATTGCCCAGAAACCGAACATGGGAGTGCTCCACATCAACTAGAGTTAACAAAAAAAAGCAGGTTGATTTTAATTAAAAACAATCAAAACACCAGTCAGTCATGATTTATCTTTAAATAAGTTCAGTACTTACTTGTAGCTCCGAGGCGACGTGTGTCCCGAGCTATGTAGTTGGCAAAGATGATTGACCTCATGCTGGTCTTTCCAGACCCACTTTTCCCCATCAGTAACACCTAACAACAAACCAGAATATCTCAGCAAACAAAGTCGAAAACTAAGTAGAGGTCCTGAAAACTACACGGCCAGCTTCACCTTTTTCTTCATCGCTGAGCTTGACATCCCCCTGGGGAGACACGGTTGTGAAGATTTTCCTGAGCTGCAGGTCAGATGACTTCGGTCTGTTTCTGCAGCACTTCTCCTGCGGAGCAGTTTCACCCAGCTGTTATTACAGCCCCCATCAAAAGTTACATCGTTAAACCCGTAAATTATCACAAACATGTGTGTATATTTACAGTTCAAATCCAGCTCGACACAGAAAATAGTACAATTCGCCTAATACGTTAATTTAATCGATCTGTCCTGCTACGAAAAATCACTTTAGCTAATGCTAACTACGCTAACAATGTTAGCCTACCAAACTGAGCAGCGAAGCTGTCCTAGTTAAAGTTTTGTGTCGTGTTTTATACTTACTCCTAAATGACTTAGCAGCTACTGGTGTCCAGGTAAACTTAGAGAACGGTTTATATTTGTTTTAGAGGACACAGCTCTAATCATTACTAAATGAGAGCAGGGTGAAGTAAAAAATCAGCTGCTTCCTGTTTACGCGAAAGTCACATGATGATCGATTTGCTAAATGCCCTGAGTTTTGTCTTCCAGGCAGTTTTTAATTATTTAACCAATTGATATGATTGATTTTTTATCGATCCGTTTAGATAAATAATGCTCAAGCACAAAGTCAGAGCTGTTAAAGGAAAATATAACAGAAATGCTGGAGAATTAATTTTGATTAACAGTTAACGCCTAGCAAAACAAACCCAAGGGGAAATATTCAAGCGATGCTGGTTTCTACAAATGTTAAAAATTTGAAACGAAGAATGTTCTTTGTTAAAATAGTCTGAATTGAAGTCAAAGGAAAGAAAAAGAAAAAGAAAAAGAAAAAAACAAAACAAAAGTTCCGCGGAGGTGCCACTAGAGGGAAGTGAACAGATTAAATAGTCAAACCTTTGGGTACTGCTGTGCTGGGGTCTTCAGTTTGACAGCAGCCACATTTGGCTCTTAATAAGCTACTAAATAATAAAATGATAAATGCTTTAAAACACACTGAAACTGAAATTACTTGTTTAGTCAGCTTTTCTGTGTTTTATGAAATTGTTGCATAATATTTCCACTACGAAATTAAAAATGTGGTGCAATTAACTTTAATCTCTAATCACAAAATGTGCTTTTCTTATTTTCAAGAAAATTCATTTGTTGCCCTTTAAGTTTCAAATTTAACCCTTTCCTCTAATTTCTACTGTATTATTATTACTATTATTATTATTATTATTATTATTATTATTATTATTATTATTTAAGAACAATCTTAGAACAAATTGATATATTGTGCTTTTTCAAATGGTGGTTTGTAGCTGCGGATAAAACTGATTTAGCAGGACACAATGGGTGTTAGAGATTGACTTTTGGGGTTGAAGCTCCGTAATAAGGTTTTTTGAGAGGGATTCTTCAATGGCTTCAACATCCACATTTTTTTTTACACTTAATTTATTAGTTACTAAACATCTGGCACGATGTGTGAATAAAACTTCAGTGAAACACACAAAGACAAGCAGAATTCAGATAAATAAAGTAGCAAATCTCGAGCCTTTGGACTTTACACTGAGTGTAAACACTCTGTATGATAATGAGAAATGGGACATGGCCTCATCTACATACCAGTTCACTGTTTGACCAGCCAGGAGAAAAAGACCATAGCAATGACTATCCCATAAACTAAAATTGTACAATATAATCGTTAAAGTTTGTTTGTCTTGTGATAAAACTGTGGTCTTCAGAAGTGAGCCAGAGGGAAAGTTAACAAAAACATCCAACACCAACTATAGCCTTTTTAGTTGACTCAGAATATGCTAAAGAAGTGGGTTATAACTGGCAATAACAGGTGTGGTGTGTTGGACCTTAAAAAATAATATCCAGAGCTGCTTTTTTTTTTGTTTCATAAACAAACAGACTTTAAAAGCACAGCTGGACAATGTAGTATGGATTACAAAAGTAGGTTTTTGCCAAACACAAGGTTTTTAAATTGAAAAAATACTTTATTGATCCCAAAGGGAAATTAAATGTTGTAACTCATATTATTTCAAATTCTTCTCTTTATTGTAGATGGAGGCAACAGTTGGCAGGAAACGTAGCTGTCTGTATTGCAGCAAATTTGAGGAAGTCTCTGACTGAAGACACACTGTTTTTGTAAGACAGTCTCATGAGGAGGACGGTCAGGGTTGTCTGTAACTTTCTTGATTTTACAACCCCTTTTTGCAACATCATCTCCAGAGACTCTAGAAAAATAAATAGCAGTCTAAAAAAAAAAGAGCGATTCTGTTAGTGAGCATTTGGGTCTGTGACATCTGAAGAGGTGCCAGAAAGGAGCTAATCAGTCGCCATCATTGAATATAACAAAAGAAAAACTCTAAAGTATTTGAGAGAAAAAAAAGGTTCAGTCTTACATACTTGTGCCAGATACTGACTCTGAATAGAACAGTGACAGTGATTGTCACCTTAACTAGTACAAATATATTTATGTTGCTCTGTGAATCTTTTTGACTGGTTCTGTAAACATTCAACGTCACATGCTGTTTTTATTTTAATTATGTAAAGCACTTTGAAATGCCTTGCTGCTGAAATGTGCTATACAAATAAAATTTGATTGATGATTGATTGATTTACGGCTCAAATGTTTGGCTGCAGCCAAACAGAGCACAACTAAATGCCGATTTTGATTAGAAATTTGTGAATGAGAGAAAAAAACACAAATTCATGTATTACAACAAACTCTGATCAGTCCCCTTGTCACCAGAAACATGAACCTTTAAAACTTTATTTACAGACAGAGTTGATTGGATTTTGGCTAAACAACTATTTGCAATGAATGAATTAAATATTTTCCATATGGTGTCAAACTACATCTAAAATGAGTTTGATTTATTTTATTTTTTTAAATGTGTGGCAAAAACATTGTGGTCTTTCACAATGCTCATAAAAAATAAAACTTTTCTCACATGAATTATTATGGAAAATGGATTTTATGCAGTTAATTTTTAAACTGGGCATTAACAACAACTACATTTAAGAAAATGCAGACAATTTGTAAGGGTATTATAAAACTTTATTGTTCATTCTCTTATTTTTAACCCTTCCCAAACGATGAGAGTAAATGAAGAAGGTGAAAAGAGACGCAGACAACATAACCTCCTAGAACCTCCTGGAAGTATTGATCATAAAGAAAATAGAGTAAATCAACACAAAAAGTCAGTTCACCAATAACAAGAAAGCTTTCAACAGTCCTTGAAATGTATTATGCATATATTCTGCCCCAAGTATGCACACCTGAATGGAAAAAAAAAGTACTATTATACAAAACCTCGAGAGCTTATCTGAAAATGAATGATAAATAAAAAGGTAATAATTTCTTTTGATTTTATTACTGTCAACATTGTAAGTGTGAATAAATATATATTTTTTCCACAAACATCAAATCTTTGATTCCATTAAAAATGTTCCAATTACAATTTTTAATTTCATTTTTATTAATATGAAGCTGGAAATCAAAAAACCAACAGGCGCCGTAAGTTTAAGGGAACAATTACTCTTTACAGTTGCTTCTCACCTGACAGAAAATGCAAAGAGGAGGGAAAAAGCAGACATGATGTCTAGAAGAGGGCGTTATAGTCAGGTAGTGTCTATCAGGTGTGTAGAACGGTTCTCGTTCTGCTCTTCACATCTGATCTCTGAGCTTGGCGAGCCTTTGAGACAGTTCGTCCTGTGAAAAATAAACAGTTCAAAAGAGTAAAGAAGAGAGCATACTTTACATTTAACTTAACATTTATGAGTGACCATCATATTATAATTTAGTTTTCTTATAAAATAAATACTTAATTGTTTAGATTTAACAAGCAAACGTGACAGAATACCTGTTCTGCAGAGGCTACGCTGGTACCCACAGATCCTGTCTGTCCTTGAGGGAGCTCCATGTTCAGGTCCAATCTGAACAGAAAATAAAAGCGTACCATTATATATAGGCCTGTCATAATAATCAGTAAATGAATTAATCTCATGAAAAATTAAAACAAACTCAATTATTTCCATTGGCATTTCTCCTTTTTTTCTCTCTTTCTACCAAAAACTGGATGATAAAAGTCTTCAGTTTGGTGCTTTGGTCTCAACTATCCCTTTTTTTAAAGGATAATTTTGTTTACAAAGACTTAAAAATGTATTTTATTTGTCGTTTTGTTTATTTATTTTGGATATTTAAAATGTCTTCCAGGTTCCAGTGTTAAATGTTCAATAGAATTTGAAGTTTATCGAACTTTTAGAATGTGCTCTTGCATTATTACTATGCTATTACCATTATATTACTTAAAAATGGTTTCAAAACAACAATGTTATTGTTTATCGCGATAACTTCTGGAACAACTTATTGTCCAGCCAAATTTGTTATTGTGACAGTCCTTATGAATTATGTTCATAAGACTCACCTAAACATCCACAAATAACATCAAAACACAATATATCACTGATAAATTGAATGAACACAATGTGATTTAATTTATCCAACAAATAATATTAGGACAGAAATGAGTGGTTACCCTGCTTCATCTGCCATTTCATGCAGCAACGACTCCACTTGATTCTGCAACACACATTACATATTACATTCATGCAAGCAGTTCTTAAACGGAGCACGAGAAAAAGCTGAGCAGAGAAAGTCACCTGTGGTGTTGTGAGAGTCGTCGTGCTGCTCATGGTGTCTTCCATCTGAGCAGTCTGAACGTCCAGAGTTTCAAACTGATGTTCAAATTTGTCCATGAGAGCTGAAATCTGCAACAAAAAAGCACCACCAAGGTTTAAAATATGTTACTTCCATTAAAATGCGTGAATATATACCATTTAGTTGGAGGTACCTTTTCGAGATTCATACTCTTCAGAGTGGCGTCCATGCCTTTCACCACTCCGGCCATAGATTTTGTGACCTGTGAGATGAAACCAAAGAAAAAGCTGCCATTATTTTGCCACATGGACGTGGAGACGATAACTGAAGCAGCGTGCGGCGCACCTGGTTCATTGTAACCGCCGTCTGGACTCTCGCTGCCACGGCGTCGACTCGGGCGCTCATCCTCAGGAAGTTCACAGACTGATTCTTCTGTCTGATGGCGTTCTCTGCGTGGATCCTCGCCACTTCCATGTTCCCCTTCTGGATGGCCTGAACACAATAAAAAGCTTTGATGAAGCTCTCAATAGCCAGCGTTGACAGCTGGCCTGATGAGTGAGACGCAGCTTACCTTCTTGACTTTTGCCTTCTCTAATTTTTCCTCTTTGTCACATTTCTTTGAATTTCTTTGGAGCTCTTTGGCAGCAAACTTTAGATTGAAGAGATTTTCTGAGAAACAAAGTTAAAGAACAACAACACAAAGCAAGAGGACCAGCAGAAAAAAAAAATATCTCTTTTATTGATTGCACTGACCACTGATTAGGCCACTGCAATCTAAAATCTAAAATTTTGTCCCATCACTGAACGCACCAAATAGGCTAAAACAGGTTGGACTGAGAACAAAACTTAGAGAGGAAGTTAACAAAGAAGAAAAAAACCTCAAAGTTAGATATTTTCAATATCAGTGAGGTGTTTGAAAATTAATTCGCATAAAGAATAAAAGTTCTAAGAAGCTTCTTAAGAGAAAACTGTATTTTCATTCAGTCATTTAATTTGTTTAAGCTGCCACAACAGGGAGGAAGACTTCAGATAAGATTCTTAAAGATAAGATTCTTACATGTCAATCTGACAACTATTCTGTTGTGAAATAATGTTGAAATCCTGTTTAAGTTGCAAGGCTATGCAACCGACTTGTCTGACAGAGGATGTTGCTGAATCTTTAGATTGCAGATTGAAACTAGCATTGTCATGCTAGCTTTCTCGACATAATATAAATAATCAACCACAACAAAAGGGTTTCTTCAGGTTCAAATAGTGTTACAATACATTAATAAATGCTAACACAGATCAGCAAACAAGCTTTTTCCTCTTACTTATTCAGATGAACAATTATTTGCTTCCAATGGTAAAGCAAGGGGAGAAAACAGCATAAATTATTATTATTATTATCACATTTAGGATGTTTTAATTGTACTGTGAAGCCATAATTTGTTGTAATCTGACAAAATTATAAGTTTGAAATGTAAAGCAAAGTTTTGAGGTCTGTTAAAGAACAGATTAATTTTGTATGAATTTTCTGTCCCATAAAGTGACTTTTCTAATTGTATTTGTAGATTTTTCAGTGATGCAACTTTGGACAGTTTTTTAAAAATAAATGTTTTCTGTCTTAATTTTAATTCTTATGTATCTATTTTATTCCTAGGGCAGGACAGGTTTCAATTTATCAAGAAAGTCAAGTTAAACATCTCTGATCAGTGCATCTTTACTTTGTTTTCCAGCATGACATCATCCAGCTCTGCATACTGTACATCATTACGTAATCTGTCCACAAGAGAGCACAATTAGGTGATTTCCCAACTGAAAAAAATGTACTTTATCATCTTTTTAAAAAAAATAATAAAATGAATGAGAACAAAGATTATGTTTGAATTTAGTGAGAATAAACCAACAAATCCCGACTTTTCCCCTTAAGTTCTTATATGCCAGTTTAGGAAGAATCTCTGTGTATCTGATTACTAACTGGGTAATAAGTAAGTCATTTATATCCAAACGATAAGCCAAGTTATTATTTTGACCTAAAATTCACACATTTTCAATGACTACAGAAGTGGCTTATAGCTTTGTTTTGGTAAACACAAACGAAGCTTGTGTTTATCAAACTATACAACTAGTTTACTATCTATTTAAGGGCTTTTATGTGATTCTCAAAAATACACAGTTTACCATATAAAACAAATATAAGGATACTACAGGTATCAACTTAAATTATTGTAGGGAAAACTATAGAAAACGCTGTGGTGTACGGTATCAAGTTTTATGTTTTCCGATGTTAGCTTAGAGGCCTTAAACGCAGCTCTGCCAAAGATTACAGACGCCTGAAGAAATTCAGTAATGTTTAACTTATTTAATAGGCTACTTTATTAAACTTTCAGTAATGCCTGATACACACTATAACGTCTCAAATGTCAGTGACAAATATATCTCATAATTTAAAGGAGCTACCGTGTTGCGTTAAACGCTTTAGCCACTGCCTTCTCTGTCGTTACGCCGCACTTCTCTTCCATTTTCACCGCTTTTAAAGGATACTTTCCATGCTCGGCATCTTTAATGGCTTCTTCGGAGACCCAACAATAAAATTCTAGCGAAAAATCCACAAATAAACTGGTCAAAAAAGAAAAAAGTTGTTGAACGTTGCACTCCTCTGTTTCGGTCCTGTCGCCCTCTTCCGCACTTCCTGGTGTCTTACCAAAATATCAACTACGTCATTGTCACGTGGTGTAGGTATTCCATTCAAACGTCACGAGCGAGATGCCTCCGCCTCTTTTCCCAAATGTGAATGAAAATATATTTTAAAAATCAATAAAACAGAGACAAACACGTTAGAAGAACACGTTCACAGTAAAATTGCGGAAACACCGGCTGAAAACACAAAGGGAATGCGGGCAGCGGGGTGAAAGTGGACGTGCCGCTGCGGTGGGCGGTGAAAGCGCCTGTCTGATGATTAGATTTACTGTGTGGATCACGGAGGAGAGGGAGGATGACTCACTCCGTCTGATGTGAGGTTCACCCCGCAACAGCTCGGCAGTGCGGTGGCACGCCGGCGGTTCAGGCTGACATGTCCGCTGTAATCCAGCAATACAAGGAAAACTTTATCAAAGTATTAAGCTGCCCCCTTTTCCGAGAACAAACGGGTACGGGCTTTGTTTGAAACTTGAGTGTTTCGTCACTTGATAGTTAGAGTGACCCGTGGAGTCGTGATTCACCGTGAATTTCGTGACGGCTAATTGCCATGGAAACAGTGCTGCTGCGCTGAGAGGAAATTGTCCGTATTAACTTCAGCTTCAACCTTTCCAACAGGGTCGGATAAACCTGTTGGATACCTTAATATATATTTTTTCTTATATATTCTTTTGTCTTGGCTTTACTTTTTCTTTTTTCTTTTTTTTACTGTAATTTGACAACCAATCAGGTGAGTTCTTAAATTTGTTACTGTCGTAGTGCAAACGCAGTTAACGCTTTTTTTCTTTGAGTGTCTTGTCTAGTTTGAGTAAAAATAATCGCTTGGTAATTTGCTAGATGTTGCATATATATCTGTATTAGGCTACATAGATTTTTGTTGACATGTTTGAATTAGAAAATTTCATTTAGAGAATAAAAACTGCAAGATTTAGAAAAAACTAAAGCAAAAGTGGGGTCTGCAAAATTCTCAAATCAGAATCTATCAGTACGTTATTGTGCTAAATTATATCGAATGCAACAATCTATATGTCAAGTTCACTGGCAGAGGATTTTATGGCCCTGATGCCACGTCAAGTGGTGCATTTCGGGTTGTTTTTGCGCACATGGAAAGAATCCAGGAGAGCCAATGAGTGATGCTTTGTTCAGTGGCTGTATGAGTCATATAGTCTTATCTATAAAGAAGCCAAGTGGCAGAGGAGCAGTCCTGCTGCAGGACCGAGCTGATGTAACCCCTGAGATGCACTAGAGGCTGCTGTGGGCCACGAGTCCCGGTGCCCCGGGTGGCTACCTCCCACTGACTGTATTTGCACGGGTGGAAAACCAAATACTGACACTGACCTCACACAGACTATTTGTGCAGAAAGAGCTGCTGTGTGTTAGATTTTCAAACCATATATACGTGAACGAATTAGACAAAATCAGCAGTGGCGTAGTCTAACAATTTCTTGCAAATAAATGTCATTGAAGGAATAAAAAGAAAAAACCTATTAATAGTAACCAATGACTTTCTGTTGTCCCATATAAATATGAGATGACACAGTTGGCTGGACAAGGATTCATGTTTTCCTTGCCAGCATGCACACTCAGCAGGACAACGAGGGAGGTTAAAACAATAGGTTAAGAATCTCCAAAGCTTACTGCTAGAGAATTACAGCAGAAGAGTGGCATTTTGGTTTCACCAAGCCTCCATAAAAATCATCAGACACCATCTACATGCCAAGTAGTTGCTTGGAAGTGATGCCAGAAAATAGGATTTTCTACCATCACAAATGTAAATGTGATTTTGCTAAAGTGTTTGCCTTGATTCCATGTGTTTGGCTCAGATGAGACTTGAGTTTTTGGGGGAATAAGTACGATGCATATATGTAAAGCATCTTATGTCCTGTGTCCTGTTTTAGACGTGTCCCTGCTCCAACACATGTGAGTCAAATGGCTGAACTAATCTCCTCTGCCCAAATCATTAGAAAATTTGCAAAATTTCCTCCAATTTTATTAAATATAACAGACATAACAAAAATGTAAATTCTGAAATGGCCTATCACAGTTATTGCAAACCATAACTGTGTAAATTGAATCACTATTTGAAAAATTAATTCTGTATTTTCTCAGTTTGACATTACAATTTGTGATTAGTGTTTTCTGTGACAAAAAAGCAACTCCTAAGAAAATATTTGAGGGGAAAGTACTGCCCCCCGCCTCCCACACACACACATTCTAAATGTACTATATTTGAAAATTATGTTTTTCCACACTTTTCAGCTTGAGATCATCAGGACTATTTAAAGGCAATGACTAATCTTTGCCAGAGGTTCTAATTATTGAGACCTGCAGTGTATATTTAAAATGCTAGAAAGTATAACAAAATAGAAATTATTATCACTAAAGATAAAGATGTGAATATGGAATTGCATCCTAATGATTCAGACATGGAACAAAAATTAAAATCTCCCTGTATAAACTAAAAACGACTCCACATAAAGCAAAGATAGTGGTTTTCTAATCCAAAATTTGTTTTATAAAAATATCAAACCTTTTTCATCAGATGGTCAATGTGTGACATAAACGACAGGCCTGTCTTTTTACAGGTAAGGACAATGGAGCATAAAACTGAAAAGAGGTTCCACAACTTGACCCACGAGCAAGTCCAGGCTCTCGACAAAGTGCTGACTGAGGTGATCCCGATCCATGGGCGAGGAAATTTCCCCACACTGCAGGTGAGAGCCAAAGACATCATTCGTGTGGTGAAAGATCGACTGGCGGAGAGGGACATCCAGGTCAAAGATATACGCCTCAACGGAGCCACCGCCAGCCACGTCCTGGTGAGAGATAACGGCCTGGGCTACAGAGACTTGGACATCATATTTGGAGTAGAGCTGCCCAGGCAGGAGGACTTCCAGGTGATTAAGGAGGTGGTGCTGGGCAGCCTGCGGGACCTCCTCCCATGTGGGGTTAACAGACGGAAGATCACCTGCCTCACCATGAAGGAAGCATATGTGCAAAAGATGGTGAAAGTGTTCAACGAGCACGACAGATGGAGCCTGATCTTGCTCTCCAACAACAGATCCAAAACGGTGGGGCTCAGATTCGTTAGCTCCCTCCGGAGGCAGTTTGAATTCAGTGTGGACTCCTTTCAAATAATACTAGATCGCATGCTGGAGTCTTACTGGGAGAGTGACAGGAGAGAAGAAGGAAAACTGCCCCTGAATGCCAGGAATTCATCAAAGAGGCACAGCAGCAAAGACAATAACAAGATACAAGAACAATCGAGCAGTCGTCAAGATGTCAAAGAGGATACTGAAAAAGATGGAGCGATGGCAACTGACGCAGGCCCTCCAAGCCCGGATGAAGCCGATTCTCCATTTGAGCTGAAAGATGAAGAAACGGATCATGCAGATGGAAAGTATGAGGCGAAAGGACCTGAGGGAGTCGGCCTACAGCAGGTGGAGGATGATGTGGGTGGCTGCGAGGGGGTCCATTCAGAGGAAGACATGTCAGAGGTGTTTGAGCTTTGTGAAGAAAGCACAGAACAAAAAGAACTGTTGGATGGTGATTATCCCTCGGAAGCATCATCAAAAGCTTTTTTCCCCGACACAAGAGATCCATTAATGACACACCCATGTTTAAAACTACAGACGACTGAAGAAGTGTCCACAATAAACACTGATCCATCAACTTCCGAAGAAATAGCTCATTTTGAGACAAGTACAAAGTTAGAGGTAAACATCGTGAACTGCAAGACGGAAAACACCCCAACTCTGCAAGATTCCCTCTGTGAATACTCCTTTCCTCCCCCGGCTAAAAAAACTTGCAGCACATCACAGGACATTGTGCCAGACTACTGCCCTTCTCCAAAACTGCAAAGGAAAATGTCACGGAAGCTGATCAGCCAGCCTGAAAAGTGGTCCTTACTTACTGATGTGTCAGACCTTACAACTCAGCTCTTCCCGCCAATAGAGGTAGTGAAACCTCTTCAGCCAAAATCCCCTGTACCTGACAGCGTAGACCTTCGTGGCTCAAACGTTTTATGTCCCGAATCAGAACATTTTGAGGGTAAGGACACTCTTACCGTTCCTTCATACAGTCCAGAACTTACACCTCAGGAAGGTGCAGGCTCGTCTGATTCTCCAGAACAAACCGTGAAGCCAAAACACTTCAAGAAACCTCCTGATTTAAAGACTCAAAGAACCGCTGTTTTAACGCCTCAAGTTGATGATCAAGGACCTGAACTTCTTGACACCGTTCCAAATAGTGTCCCTTGTGTTGGTGTAGAAAGTGAGCCCGTCATCGCCGTTGAGGCAGAGTGCATGTACGGAGACTTTGAGCAGGCGATGGACCATCTTCGCCAACGCCTCATTGCCACCCACAACCCAGAGGAGATCCGTGGAGGGGGGCTGCTGAAGTACAGCGATCTGCTGGTGAGGAACTTCCGGCCAGCCAGTGAGACTGAAATCAAGTCCTTGGAGCGTTACATGTGCTCCCGCTTCTTTATCGACTTCCCTGACGTAAGCGAGCAGCAGCGTAAGATCGAGGCCTACTTGCAGTGCCACTTCATCGGCAGCGAGGAGGCGAGCAAGTACGACTACCTGATGACCCTGCGGCGCGTGATAGACGAAAGCACGGTGTGTTTGATGGGACATGAGAGGAGGCAGACCCTCAATATGATCACTGTCCTTGCTCTGAGGGTTCTGGGGGAGCAGAACGCCATCCCCAACACAGCAAACGTTACTTGCTTCTACCAGCCAGCGCCATACGTGTCAGAGCCAATTTACAACAGTTACTACATCCCTCAGGCCCAGCCGCCACTTGTCTACCACCCGTACCCTCTGCATGTTCACATGCAATCTGGCCTCGTTTAGCCAAGATGGCACGCTGGCATGAAGGCATGCACTGTAGCATGGCGCTCTGCAATCAGAGGCATGCGTGGAAGTTTTAGCAACAACAGGCAACAAAACGTTGCAGTGTTGTTTAAAGTTTTAAAATCCCTCCTGCTTATAACGGATACTGGGTGGCCAGGGCTGAGACGGACTCAGAGGCTCTTTTTAAGAAGAGCCCAAGAAAAGAAACACGAGAGCTTGTTGAGAGGATTTCATGAAATCTGAGGGGACCTGCTGTACGGCTGGTCCAGTTCAGTTCTGGAGTACCGATTACCCTCCTGCATTGAAGGCATCGTAATATGTCTACATGATAAACACCTTTAACCTATTAAGTGTAATCTGTTGCTTGTTGGCTACAAGGATCTTGAAACCTTGGTCTGGGAAAAAGTTCGAGTCAATCGCTGAATCCTGTGGGGTACAAACACTATAAATGTTTTGTGAATCGTTCGTCTGAACCACATTCAGCGATCCCATACCTGTGTACACATTGTTTAGAGATAAGATGCCGTTTACTGTGGGGTTAGATTAGACAGTGGTGCTTCCATAATGTGGTAAATTATGTATTAGTGGATGTGAATTGTGAACACATTGTGTAATAAGGATGCAGTAGCTGAAGGCAGTTAGAGAATAAATAAACCAGATTTAAAAGATCTGAATAAATTGCTTCTGGTAAAGTGATTACAGCACTGAAAAAACAACATGCATTTATGAATCGTTTAGATATCAATTATGTAAGTTAACCTCTTTAGATGTGAAACATTGCTCACATATGAGGCGACTGTAAAAACACCTGAGTTCAGACTTCACAGCACTGTGAAACCAAAGAGAAAGTGTGGCGTCTGCACCAGTCTGTTGGAAATACTTTTTTTTTTTTTTTTTTTTTTTTTTTAATAGTGCCCCTTTGGGGGGGTTTGGGGAAATTAAAAGAACCCCCTTTGCGGCCTTTAAAAGCAAAAT